CCCACACCCACACCCACACCCACCCACACCCACACACCCACACCCACCCCACACCCCACACCCACACCCACACCCCACACCCCACACCCCACACCCACACCCACACCCCTCAAGTCGTTTGGTATAATAACAAATACTAGTAAAAAACTGTTCTGAAATAGAGATAATAGGTGATGTTTGTGCAGACAAGCACACCGCTCACACATGAAGTCACTTATAAGTGATATCATTCTTACATCATATTTTTTCTATTGAGAAATCTCCGTTACCTATATTGGATGTGGATATGGGTGTGAGTGTCGGGTCTGGGTCTGGGTATTCCAGATCTATATCCAAACAAATCACCATCCACATCCAACATTAGTATATAAAGTGGGGGACAAAAGTTTAAGACACCTATTACTTTTAAGTTTTCTCTTTGACAAACGAAGACAAGATCGATCTGGTGGTGGATATCCATAGTCTAGTATCAAGTCTACATGGCTCAATAATTATCGGATTGGTCGCTCGTTGACTGTGAACAAACGATTAATAACTTTTTTTCTCCAGCGGTCAAGAGTTTAAGACACTTTTCAATTTCACATGTTTTTTATTTCAAAAATCAATATAAACAAATACTGTTCTACATGAAATGACCTCCTTTGGCTTTTAAACACTTTTGTACTCTATCGGGCATTGAGTCAATTAAATATAAGCATGAAAGCTAGCTGATGCCGTTCCATTCCCCTTCAAGCCGTTGGGAAAGCTCCATAATGAGTATATAGGTTTGGCAGCCAATTGCTTATTCAAGATGGACAACAACATCTCAATTGGATTGAGATCCGGACTTTTGGCCGGCCATTCCATAACATTCAGCTTCATTTTTGTAATTGTTTTCTGGACGAGTTTTGATGTACGCCACGGCGCCAGGTCCTGTTGAAAAGGGTACGCCGTTTTATTCGATAATCTTCCCATAGATTGTTTTAATTCTTGCTGAAGAACGTCACAGTATAAAGCCCCATTCATAGTTTCTTCAAAAATCCTTGCCATCGTCATTCCATCACCTGATATACCACCCCATATGCCTACCTTGCCACCATCACAAGTATTCATCTGTTGAATGCAATCCGGTAGCAACCGTTCGTCGTCTGTTCTTCAAATCTTGACTTAATTTTTTCGTTTCAGAACATAAAAAGTTGATTCATCACTAAAGATTACCTTTCGCCAATTTTGGGATGTGGGTGTGGCTGTGGGTGTGGCTGTGGGTGAAGAGAAGCATCACACCCACACCCCACACTCACACCTACACCCACACCCACACATCCACACCCACACCCTCACACCCGCATAAAAATCAACTTTTCGCAAGTGTTGCAGAACTTTTTGGCCAACCTAATAATAAAAGAAACCTATTTTTATTGAAAAACCGAGTATATATCTATCAAAAGAAAAAAAAGAGCTTTTTAGCATTTTCCAAATAGTTTTTTTATGTTAGAAAACGATCTTAGAAAATGTTTAATATATACAGTTATATGGAGCTGGGTGTGGGTGTGGGTATTCGTCCAATGTCAAAAGTAACGCCCATACCCTCACCCATACCCACACACTCACAGCCACACCCTGGACGATTTCGATCCGGAAATTATTGGTTATTCTTGTGACTAAAACAACTTATGAGTACCATACGTCGTATATTGATCAGTGATGAAAATATAAGCTTGTCTTTACAATAATTAGTACCTTTGATGAAACACACACACCCTAGAACGAGTAAAATCTCCATATGATTATTAAATAAACGTGACATATATACCAAGTAATAAATATGATATTCTGAACATTCGAAACTAAAAATTGAAAAATATGAGCTGACTTCGATAATAGTTATCCAGCAATATTTTTCTTTTTATCACCAATTAATTTAGCATCTATGTTCGATATTAGCAATCCATATTACCGGAATATGGATGAGTCAGCTTGTCAAAAAAAATATTTTGCGATATAAAAAAATGATATACTTTTCATCAAATGATATATACAGCTGCTTTATGAGACAATTGAAAAGATACGTTACATAAATCTTTTCTGGATCATCACAGTCCCATACACACATATTTCTATATCATTCAAATCGTGTGTACATATGCTTGTTGATATCGACCTGCATCAAAAGAACAACTACTACGACATCCAAACCCTCATACACCTTATATCCATCCGCTAATACAGACACGCAGCATATAGCTACATCCACATCCCACACTCATTTTTTTCCTGATGATTAATTTCGAATATTTGGAAGATAGTTTCATCAAAGCAAATAGTTATAGTTTCTTTTGTATAAGAAATAGATTTTATTTAGTAAATTTGTTATAAAGTATTATTCAAAATTCAAATTCTAAATTTTATAGGTGATTGTGAAAATATTTTTAGGATATTCTGTTGTTCGTAAATTGAAATAGGATTATTTGTAGCAGAAAACGATCTTAATGATCTCATATTTGTTATTTGATATGGAATATGATTTAATTTATTATAATTTATTGTTAATATTTCCAATGTTGTTGATAAATGCATAATTTCAAGTGGAATCAATCCAATATGATTATAATCTAATTCTAATCGATTTAAAGATTTATATTCTTGAATACCATAAATGGATGTCAACAAATTGTTGCTTAGATAAAGTTCACGAATATAAAATAGTGCTGGTTGAAACATATTTCCTTGAAAATTATTATTTGCTAAATTAAAAACTTTTAAATTAGGTAAATCAGATGATAAAGTTGATGGTAATGTTGATAATTGATTTGATACCATAATTAAATTGATTAAAGATTTTAATTTTAAAATACTTTCTGGAAACGTTGTCAATTGACATCCAGATAAATCAAGATATCGCATTGATGGTACCTTAATAAATGAAACTGTTTCCAAGTAAGAAGTTGATCTAATACTGACATTATATAAATATGGTATATTGTCAAATGAAATGGATTTAAGATTGAATAATGAATTGGTTTCAAAAGTTCTTAAACCAGATATATTTTTTAACGTAACTGTGATTAATTGTGGATTATTAGCGATTGATAGTATGTCACCATTTGATACATTTGCAATATTGACAGAAATTAATTTTGTATTTGATAATATATGTAATCTTCCTAAGTAATATAAATTCTGAATATTTACTGTTGATAGTTCACTATTATTTTGAACCTTTATGAAACTTAATGATGCCATATTAGTAATTTCAATTGTTTGTAATAATGAATTAAATGTTATTATTAAATCAGATAAACTATTTATTTTTTCTAAATTTAATCTTTTAATACTTGTTTTAGTTATTTCGAATGTACTCAATTGTTCAAAATTATTTATTGTTGATGGAATAGTTGTTAAATTTGGTAAATCAGTTAAATTTAAAGTTTTAAGCTCAGTTAATTTACCAATACTTTTGTCAGGTATTCGACTCAAGTTTGGTATATTCTCTAATGTTAATGATGATAAGCGAACGAAATATTCAATATCATCAGGTAAATCTTCAAGATTTTGAATATTCGATAATTGTAAAGTTGATAAATATTTTAATTGTCCGAATTCAGATGGTAAATGCCTACCAATAGCACCATTGTCGGATCGAATTGTTAATGATGTCAAATTTTGAAAATTTTTTATGTCAGGTAGTATTGGTAAATTGGTATTTATTAATTGAAGTGTTTGTAAATCTTTCAAGCAGTATATATTTACAGAAGGATTCACATCATTAAAAATATTAAAATATACAACTTTATTTCTCATATTATGATACCTATAATCATAATAGTCTGGGAGATACACAGATGTAGATGATGAATTAAAGTTGAGTCGAACATAAAATGGATTTAGATTGATAATATCAAGTTCGTTTGCATATATGGTACAATTAATTTCTGCATTGCCATCTTAATCAAACAAAACAAAGATAATCGAAAACTATCTTCTTTATTAAGAAAATTTGTTTACCTCGAACATTGATGAACAAGAAATAAGTAAGAGATAACAATGGAATGAATTTCATTCGGATTTTATTGATGAAGTCTAAACTTAAAAGTGTTGATTTTCTCGTTGACTGTTTGTCTTATAACTTGATGATGAAAATCTTAGAATAAAGTCAAATAAAGGATGCAATAATTATTTTTAACGATAAATAGATTGGCGCGTCATTGATAAAGATGAAAAACACATGTATTTTCTCTCCAGGAGTACAAATTACAGAGAATATTTTCATTTTTCTGAACAAAAAATAAAGAACATATGAATCTTACGAAAAATAGCTCTTAACAGTTAGAATATATTCTCGAATTTTCTTCATGTGACACTAGCATGAAATTGATGAATCAAAGTTTGCAACACACTAACTGTTACTACACATAATAGGCCAACTATTTTAAGACAATGTTTTTCGATATGATTATATATAGTTTTGTTTTCCATATATGCGTGAGTAAAATAATTGATATATTATAACGAGATATGAATAGTGGTCTATAATGATGTCTACGTAGGATTCGAATTTTCACTCTATAATCATCAGTGCTTCTTTTACAGTGTCTTTCGTAAAGAAAAAGAACTATTTTCAGTCACGAATGTCGGAGTTTCAGTAGAGTTTACATTACCGAAAAAGTTGAACAAGATTTCGTTGTTCAGACTTCAACATATCGAAAAAAGATGTATGTGTAACGAGTTTTGATGTAAGAAGGCAGTAATTGATGGGTAACTATTTCAGACGTTCTCTTGTCTTTACTATTAATCATGCACAGAATACTATTAAAGATATGCTGCTTATACATAGACAGAAACGAGAGAAACTGAAAGAGAAGCCAAAAGATAATTATTACCACGTAAGGAAATATAGAGGGGTACATTTCAGAAAAGGAAACATTATTCTTAAGAGCAATATTTGTTTTGGTGTAATATTAATACTTATATCCTAATATAGTTTTTCAAGAAAAGTTATTATAGAAAATACAAGAAGGCTAAAGGAAAACATTCTGTAATAACATACATTGATATTCTTGAATAGTTGGGTCTATACACAATTATTTAAAACTAGATAAAATCCTCATGTCTTCAAAATCGCTAAGAAGTTGGCGATTAACCACAATTCATCGAAACAGCAGTGACGACTTCATACCTAAGCATATACTCAGTTTTGGTTACTACATTCGGGACTTATTATTTTTACTTTACAAATATTTTTATTGGATAACTGAACGTTGACATCACTCGATATAGGTGTGCTATCTAATAAACGAAGAATTAAAATGTAATATGGAGTTTTATATGGATAGACAAGACGGTGTTTGGAAAAACATATATTGAAACATTCACGTGTATTTGAGTTTCATATCATTTTTTTGACAAAGATTCTATTCGTAGTTTTTTCGTTCATCGTAAACTTTAAATCTCACAAAAATTCGAATCGTGTGAAATCTCCAGAACGTGTTAGGTTTGGTGAACTTTGACTAAAGTCAAATCTTCAGCTTTGTAACACGTTGGATGTGAGTGTCGGTTTCAATGTGACTGTAATACTGTGATCTATCATCTACATCCACCCCTCCTCCTCCACTCTCACACTCTACCTCTCATTTCACTTTCTATTTGTGATTTAATACTTTCTTGGAAACTAAATAAAATTCTACATGACAATTCTGTCAATTGAGCCGTTGATGTCCGAGTACCATGCTAAATATCTCTTTCTTGTTTCAACATACTTTTATTTCTGTTGTCCATGAGTATTTGTTCTGTCTTTTGAATAGAATTTTGCAGACGTTGTGTGTTTCGACCGAAGATAGCTGGTGATCTTTGTAAGCAGATCGGTATTCGTAGTGTTATTTTTTCAAATATTTCTTGTGCTTCTTTGTAATATTCAAGTGCAAGAGTATAATTTCCGTTTATATAGTGGATATCGGCAAATACTTCATAGTTAGCTGGCATCGTTTCACGATGATTATCAATCTCATTATTCGATGCTGTTGATTGATAAAGGCTATCAAACATAATTTTATCATCACATCGTTTAACCCTTTACCCCCATGGAGGTTCCAGAAGAGCCACTGATAAAATAACTTTATTAATACAGTACTACCCTCGCTAGTATGCAAATGGCATAATCTGATCCATCGAATGTTCTGCTCCAAGAGTAGAACGATTTGATTTATCCAGAAATCATGGGGTAGGGAAAGAAAATTGAACTACACCGTAAGAGTTGATTTTTATTCTGTGACCACAATATTGAGTGGACAGAAGGAACATCTATCTCGCGCTATTAGAATAATGGAAAAAAGACGAGAAATAAACCCATAAAAATGAACACCAAAGAATACATCCGTTTTTTAGATGTTTTTTCAAATTAAAGCCAATTTTATTCTTGGCCATTTAATAACCTCTCATCAAATTGAATTCATCATAAATAGAGTTTCGACTTCTCATGAGTCGAGGTATCTAATATATGTATTAACTGTGCTCTTGATTTCGCCCCATAGGTCAATTTGTGGCTACATGGTCAATCATATTTCTTTGTATGTCATATTCGCTGAGTTATCACTAAAATTTTGAAATATATTTTATTTATCAAAGAACTTCTTCATCAATTAATATCACATACAAATTCCATGAGATCTCTATTGGCTGCGAGTAGAAAGTATTTTACTTAAAAAATTTCAATTTTTTTCATTTTTTCAAAATTTTCGATTTTTTAGTCCCTTTATTTCAAAGACGGAGCAATCAAAAGGAACAGTCTTTCTACCAATGGATAGCCCATGAAGTTTACTACAAAAAAGGTGCTTAGCGTTTTTTAACCCGATGCTCCCTTTCTTTTCCGCAGTCGTTCTACAAATGGTCACTCCAGCGACCA